GTTTCAAGACCCTGTTTCTTAGTTACAAGTAGAAAAGAATATAACTACATTATAACTTTTATGGTGATTTTAATTTAGGTAATTATTGACAGTAATGTGGTGCTACTTTGATAACTGCTTAAATGTTATTGATGAAAATGTGATACATATATATATATATATATATATATATATATATATATATATATATATATATATATAATATATATATATATATATATATATATAAACTTGCATATCCCCTTTGTCACAATTAATGCAATTTTAACAAATGTTAGCCATTTTTATAAGGAAAAGAAAATTGTTAATGTTTGTCTATCATTATATTTTCATGTGGGTTTGAATATTATTTTGTTGTCAGGTTATGTAGAAATTGAATATATATTGACACAACACAGTTTTTTATTTTTACATCAAGATGTTATAACACCATAATATCTGGAAATCTATGTTGGAAATTTGCAAAATGCTGTAGAAACACATGGCATCACAAGCGGAATGCAGTGCATATAAAAGAAATAGTATTGAACACACACCATAAAAAGGAAAAGGAAACTACAAAGAATGGGAAAGCTTTCAGTTTCAGTTTTAGGAATAGAAAAATATTCAGTGTTCTTAAAGTGCATGAAGACCTTTTTGTGGTCCTACCTGTGGTGTGTTAATGTATCACAAAATAAATCTTTTATTCCCAATTTAAGCTGTTAAGCTGAACACTGGTAAAAATAACTAAAAAATCTGGCCTCTTCAATTGCTTCTTAACACAAGTTAAGAATGCTGTCCAGAATACACTGTGTTATGACTTGAGGTATCAGCTCAAATCTGAGATTGAATCTTTTCAAGAGAAATTAAGATTGTGAAGGATTCTTTTTACTATTTACTTTCTAGTATTATAAAGGGTAAAGCAGTCGAAGACGAAACAATTTTCTCTTTCATTTAGAAAGGGGTCATCATGCTAGAATTGACCAAAAGAGCTAAAAGGGCTGATGTTTCATCCACATTGGTAATGACCTGGTGCAAGCAAGCTTAAAAGCAATGTTTTAAATCACTGCAATATCTGGATAAAACCACTCTAGCAGTAAGTGGGAAGAGTTACATTGGTGAAACATAAAAACACTACCAGCCATTTTTACTTAGTTTACAAAAAAAAAAAAAAAAAAAACTCAGCAAGGACACAACTTCCCACTTCCTCTACCTGCATCTGTCAGTGTGGATGTGGTTGTCTTGCAGTATATTTGTTAATGCAGAGGGCTTACAAGATCAATCAGTTTGTGGAAAGGTCATATTGGCTGTAGAAATTAGGCACCAGTCATTTCTGTGGCACAAGTGTTCATTAGGAAATTAGAAATTGCTCATTATACAAGTCCTAACATTTTTTTTGTTTGATATACTTTCATATGGGCAATGCTCTCTATAAACCTTTAAACAATAATGATTGTCTTTGGGGCACACACAATATATGTATGCTGTGAATTAAATATTACACTTCTTTATTATTTCATTATTGTTTCATCTTTTTACATTGTACCTTTATGACTGCATGTGCAGATTACAAGTAGTATTTAATATCTTTGTATTGTGCCCTTTTATGACTGTATAACCTACAGGATTTCTTTTCTATACATTATTAATTGTTACACACAAAGGCTTTTAGACTGCATGTCAAAAGTAATTCAAAATAATTAGAAAAATAAGGACACATTATGTATGTATATTTCATTAATGATAAAATATATATATATTCTTATAATATTCAGTGATATCTACAAACTATAGTAGTTTACAGAAAGGTAAGGAGAGAGGTAGAATATTATCAAAATTCAATAAAAATACATGTCTTCAAAAGTATTTATTCAGCCTTCAGCTCCTGCATGTACACATATATCAACCTTCAGTAATGACTACTTTCATGGCGAAATCATACATGGCTAAAATAAGCCGTTTTCACAGGTTTGCAAAATGATATAATTATCATCATTATTAAACAGTATTACTGTATCAGTATCAGTATCACTATTATTATACAGTGCATGAGTAAATTTTACAACCATTATCATAGATTCGCAGCAAGCACCAATGTGTCACCATTCAGTACAATATAAATTTTGCTATAGCATCCTTTTACACTATCCTTTATAAATAAAAATGTTGGCTAAAAATAACAACAAAGCATCAATGCATTGATACTGTAGTTTAATTTTCATAGATAAAAACAATTAATTACCTCTCATAATTTATGAATAACAAATTGCCACTTAGTATTCTCAAACAGCCTGAATATAGTCAATCTCCAGTGAGCTTGTACCTCTCTGTTTAAAGTCACTATAAACACCACGGAATTGAATGCGTAGTTCTCGTTATATCTGATGGTCAGAGGTTCTGCGGTCAGGAAAATTTGGCTTAAATCCAACCCATCCTCTGTGTACGCTAGTATGTTATCTCTTTGCCGTTTAGTGAGTTTAAGCCATACTACCGTGGTGCTCTTGTTCCTGACGCAGAACCTCTTGACCCATCAGATATAACGAGAACTACCATTCAGATTCCCGGTGGTGTTTATAGTGACTTTAAACAGAGAGGTACAAGCTCACTGGAGATTGACTATCATTCAGGCTGTTTAGAATACTGAAGTGGCATTTGTTATTCATAATTATGAGAGGTAATTAATTGTTTTTATCTATAAAATTAAAACTACAGTATCAATGCATGATGCTTATGTTGTTATTTTTAGCCCAACATTTTTTTTATTAAAGCCTATTCTCATGAGTAAAAAAGTTCATTTATCAAACATTGATATTCACATCTGTAAGTATTGGTTAAAAAGCTTGATCTTTGGACAATTGGGAAAGAATCATCAGACACGGGTCCAGGGAACCAGGATGTCGAAAGGTGTTTTACTATGGCAGGTAAAGATATTTTCTTCTTTGTGTAAAGGACAGAAACCCAGTGGTATACCCTCTTATGAAATTTTCTTCACAGTAAGTTGATTTTTTGTTTTGTTCTGTTGAAGCCATAAAGGATAATGAAATGCTTATAGCAAAATTTATATTGTACTGAATGGTGACACATTGGTGCTTGCTGCGAATCTATGATAATGGTTGTAAAATTTACTCATGCACTGTATAATAATAGTGATAGTGATACTGATACAGTAATACTGTTTAATAATGATGATAATTATATCATTTTGCAAACCTGTGAAAACGGCTTATTTTAGCCATGTATGATTTCGCCATGAAAGTAGTCATTACTGAAGGTTGATATATGTGTACATGCAGGAGCTGAAGGCTGAATAAATACTTTTGAAGACATGTATTTTTATTGAATTTTGATAATATTCTACCTCTCTCCTTACCTTTCTGTAAACTACTATAGTTTGTAGATATCACTGAATATTATAAGAATATATATATATTTTATCATTAATGAAATATACATACATAATGTGTCCTTATTTTTCTAATTATTTTGAATTACTTTTGACATGCAGTCTAAAAGCCTTTGTGTGTAACAATTAATAATGTATAGAAAAGAAATCCTGTAGGTTATACAGTCATAAAAGGCCACAATACAAAGATATTAAATACTATTTGTAATCTGCACATGCAGTCATAAAGGTACAATGTAAAAAGATGAAACAATAATGAAATAATAAAGAAGTGTAATATTTTATTCACAGTATACATATATTGTGTGTGCCCCAAAGAGAATCATTATTGTTTAAAGGTTTATAGAGAGCATTGCCCATATGAAAGTATATCAAAACAGAAAAAAATGTTAGGACTTGTATAATGAGCAATTTCAATTTCCTAATGAACACTTGTGCCACAGAAATGACTGGTGTCTAATTTCTACAGCCAATATGACCTTTCCACAAACTGATTGATCTTGTGAGCCCTCTGCATTAACAAATATACTGCAAGACAAC